GCTTTTTGGGGGGGGGGGGTTGCAGGTCATGGCAGGACCTATGCCCAGGTGTCTCGGTGCTGGGCCAGGTGCCTTGTGTTCACCTGGAGCTCCCATCTGTCCTGGTAAGCAAGGAGGGTAGGCCTGCAGGTGCTTTGTGATGCTGGAGTATCCTGGCTGCACCCCTGGGCCAGCACCACTGTGAGAGCGAGCAATAGGCCCTGCCCACAGGCTGGGGGAATGCTGCTGCACTGCTGGTAGCAGGTTTGTCTTCCCTTTGCAAATGGTCCTGTTCCCAGGCCTGAGCCTGGTGGCAGCTGTGCCCCTGGGTCATGCACCTGCTCTACATGGCAGCCACTGCCCCTGCAGGGATAGGAGACACCTGGTGGGGACCTGTCCTGCAGCCCAGGCTCAGGGCCTCTCACCAAAGGACCAGGTCAGGCCTGAGACTAATGCTGGGGTTAAATGGCCTCAGCCCTTGACTCCAGACCTCCCTTTGGGGGCAGCATCTGTGACAAAATGCCACCACAGTATCTCCCCAAACTCTGCTGTCCAGCTTCTTACCTGTCTATTGCTCTAGCTGCCAAGCAACCAGCTCTGCTTAGGGACCTGGCCTCACAGCAGGGCCTGGTTACCTGTGAGATTATTTCAGGTGCCCCAGAGAGATTAAATGCCTTGTCAGGGACAGGAATCCCAAAACGGCTAGGGAAGCTGTTAACATTGCTGAGCAGATGTTGCTAAACTGAGAGGAGCGGAACCGAAGGCCCCCACGTTGGGAGGGAAGAGAAAGGGTTCCACGAAGGGGGAAAGGGGAAGGCCGGTCCCAAACAGGGGAAGTGGGCTGCCTCCTGCTGAGCACAGGGCAGCCCCAGATTCAGTCAAGCCTCCTGCTTCCAAAAAGAAGCGTTTCTTTAATTGTGGGGAGGTTGGCCACTTCAAAACCAACGGCCCAAAGCAAAGCACCGCCATTAACTTTATCTGCCAGGCAACACCTGTAAGCAGTGAGGAGGGAGACCAGAGCCACTCTGAGGAGCGGACCCGGTGCTACAGGATTACAGACCCAGAGGAGGTGCTAGTTACCCACCGGACTGACATCAAAATTAAAGGGAAAACCCTCATTGGGGAACTGGACACAGGAGCCAGTGTGTCATTCGTAAATGCTAACTTTGTTTCACCTAGGGATATAGTCCCAGGGAAAACCCTTACCTTAGAAGGGGTGGGGCACTGGCCATTCGAGGTACTGGTTGCCCATCTCCCCCTTGAGCGGAAAGGCTGCTGGACAAACAAGGACACTGGAGTGTTGGAAGAGGCTCCTGTCCCCATACTAGTAGGGAGGGACTTTATGGAGCTTGCATATCTGAAAGGGGCACGGGACAGCTTTGAAGTACCCTACTATGTTAATGTGGTGACTTGCCAACAGAGCAGGAAGGTGAAGGCAGGAGGTGGGGAAACCACCCAGAGTAAGGTAACCCAGGTGGCTGTGGAGGCAGGAGGGAGGAAGGAAGAGAATCCCCCTAATTGTGACAGCCAGCTGGCCGCTAAGAAAAGTGGTAGCCCTGAGATCAGGCCAAGGAACTGCCCCAGGGAGGAGCTCTGTTAGATGGTGGCAGAGGAAACGGAGACGCTCGGCGGGGCAGGGTGGGGGAGTTTGGAACTGCCTCCATGGGGGAAAGTCCGGACAGGAGCACCAGAACCCCCTGGCGGTCGCCCGATGCTGCAGGAGCAGGAAGACGAGACCTGGCAGGTGAGGAAACACCTGCCACGGGTACCAAACTGGCACCGGGAGGAGCTGCACCAGCAGTCCACAGCCCACGGGGCAGAGTGGGACACCCTGAAGCAGCAAATCTACAAGGTGCAGGGGGAGCTAGAGGCCCATGCTGCAGCAGTTGTGAGCAGACCAGTGCAAACAGGACAGCTTCTTTGGGGAGCGCCTGCAAGTGGAGACTAAGCAGAACATCCAGAAAACCATGGACCACATCAAGGAAAGCCATGGGAGGGAGCGGATCCTCTGTCACAAGGAGACGCTGGGTAACAGGTCAGGGGGAGTCAGGCCTACCCCAGAGTGCTCTGGCACAGGGATACCCCGACATACCTTAATGCCATCTGTGTATTGTTGTTATAACTGGTCTTATGTGTTGCATGATTTCTCTTTGGGTATGAAAGGTAACCCTTTCAGACAAACCACACCTGTACCCACAGCTCTGAGACGCCATGTGCCTGAGCTTTCAAAGGAGGAGGTGGGGAGAGAGGGGAGGAAGTGTGACCGAATGCCATCACAGTATCTCCCCAAACTCCACCAGGCTTATTAGCTGTCTATCATTCCGGTTGCCAAGCAACCAGCTCTACCTAGTGGCTTGAGCTCATGGCAAAGGGGTAGTGGCCACAGAGATGTCTATCTCTGAGTAGGCCAGTGCTGCTTTTTAAATTGGTTGGTTAGCCTCAAACAACCCCAGCCCTGATTGGACCTGGAGGGTGTGGTCAGGAAAGTTTATTTGAGAGCCCTTTCTTCTTGGAGGAGAAGGAGCCAGTGGTGCAGAACATGGGGAACTAACCAGGCAGAGAGAGATGGGGATCCCTCCAGGAACTGCCTGCCTCCAGAGGAAAGCCCAAGCAGCCTCTTGGTGATACTTGTGGGTAACTTAACTGAAACCTACCTAGACATACAGTTTACTGTGATATAGATGCATGCTCAACAGCTGCTTAGCTTCTCTGTTTGCTCAATGGTGGTTCTTTCATTTTTATCTAAGCTGTACCCTTCCCCAAGTCTTCCCTCTTTAACCAATAAAGTTCACTGTTCCTAGCGTGGTAGACTGACAGGGAGAGGGACTGGCTTATGCCTTAGTCAGCCCCCCAAAGAGGCTAATTTTTGGTGTTTCAGGCTAAGGAAAGCACCCCCAGTTTTCACAGAGGATTAAGTACCCTCTACATCTACTAGGCCTGTGGGGCACAGGGCAGAAGACAGACCAAATCCCTTGGGTGGTGGATGCGGTAGCCCCAGGCTTCCAGGTGTGCTCGGGGAGGGTCTGCCTGATATGAGGCACCCTAGGCAGGCATTTGGACCTTGGTAGGTGGTCAGGCAGCAAGGTGGGTGGTTCAGTGCAGGAGTGTCCCCTGCAGCATTGACAACAGATGGGAGAGGCAGATCCAGACTAGGCGGGCACTCCCTCAGGTAACAGCAGGGTCCCCTGACCCACTGGGAGCCCCAGTATGCCCAACACTGGGTCAAGCTGCTGCCACAGCCCTGAAGCTATCTATCTGAGCCTCACCAAACCTCTAGGCAAAACCATGGCTCCCCGAGCCCCTCCAGTGCATACACAGTTCCTAGACACAAGAGACTTTAATTTTTTTAAATAAAACATGAGTTACAGCAAGTTCCCCACACACCCAGAGCTCCCTCCTGGTGCCAGGGCTCTGGTCTCTCATTCTAGAGGCTGCACCTGCCTGGAAGACTAGAAATCACTGCAGATTGAACAGATGCCTCCTAGTCCCCTATGCAGACAGCAAACTGCAGGATGTGAGGCTGTGAAGAAGGTGAGTTGCATCAGTGGGGAAGGAGGATGCCCAAGCTCCCTTAGCTAGACTGCTTCACCCCTCCCTGCCACCCCACCACACACTGGGGGAGGTCACACAAGCAATGGCTGCTGCTGGAGCCTGGCCCAGGGGTCTGTGAAAAGCAAAATTATTACTGAGCCAGAAGAGTTTGGCACAGCAGCTGCAGGGCAGGTGCTCCCTGCCTTGCAGCTGCCTGGCCACAGATGGGGAGATCCTCCCATGGAGGGCACAGGGGCAAGGTGCCTCGACTCGGGGGAAGAGAGACCCCAAAAAAGGGTGCCTGGAATCATGCGTTACCTCTGTTGGAGAGGGGCCGACAACCTTCCCTCTCAGCACCTGTTGGACGATGCATCTCGGTGGCAGAATCGCTGCAAGAACAGAGATAGGCCTCAGCATCTGGCACAGTGCAAATGCAGAGACAGCACAGGGGGTGTTATCTGGACCCACAGGAGCACAGACCAGTCACCAAGCAAGCGGCTGCACACTCCCTCCCACCCCAGCTCTGCTCTGTTCACTCACCCACACAGAACAGGCCCAGCCCTTTGCTTGGAGCCCTCCCAGGGTGGCATCTGAGCGTGGCTTTCTGCTCAGCTCCACTTCGCCCAGCAGGAGCACAACTGGTGGCCTGCTCTGCCTGCTCCAGCCCCAGGCAGGGGAGGGGAAGCTATATGGACAGGGCCCTTGCCCCACTATCAAACTGTTCTTCAAGGGAGTTGGGGGCTGCCTTTCTCCCCAGGGTGCAGGTGGACATGGGGACAGAGCTGGCACAATAGCAAAAAGGCAGCCACCCCGGGCCACTGAACAGCCCCCAAGCATTCCCTGCCCAGGCAGCCTCCACTGGGAGCATCAGAGACCAGCCAGAAGTGCACGGAGGTGGTGATGGTACTGGGGAGGCACAGACATGAGCAGCTCTGAACAAGCCAAGGCTTCAACATTTTGGCCCCAGAGGAAGCACACATGTCCTGTCCAGCCCAGCCCAGATGCACCCACCCCCTGCCTGTCCTGGGGGCCTCAGGCAGGTACCTTCCTGGAACATGAAGGGCTGCGCCAATGGCCAGATGGCCCAGAAATAATCCTTGTCCAGCTGCCGCAGCGAGCTCACTGGGATGGTGGCTGAGCAGCCAAAGTCCACAAAAAAAACCACAGCCAGGTCCTCCACCTTATCCAGCACCCAGCACCTATGAAGTCAGTGAGAGCATGAGCCCAGCAGTGTAGCAGCAAGGGCACCCTTGGGGTAGAAGTCCTCTGGCCCCACGGGCAAAGTGTTGCCTGCCCCGCAAAGCATCCGTTCCCAGACCTGTTCCAGGCTCTGCTGTCAGCCCCCAGGACGCACTGGGCCAGGCAGCGGGTCCCGCGCTTCACCTCCTGCTTGGCCAGGTAGGGCTGCTGCTCCTCCGCTTGTGCCAAGGCCCCGAACAGCTGCTGCATGTGCAGATGACGCTCCTGCCATGGACACACTGTCACCCACAGCCCCTACGTCTGCCCTAGAGCCCCAAGGTTATAGGTACCCTTCTTTCTTGAGCCCCACAATTACTAGTTTTGCCCCCAGGGGCAATGCAAGCCCCTGCATGTGCCTGCCCTGACAGTACCACAGATACTTGTGTGGGCCTATGATCTCCAATCCAAGGCCTGCTTTCAGTGCTTTGCTACATCAGGGACGAGGAGCAAGCACAAGGGGGGGGGGGGGTGCATGCAGACTTGGGGGAGCCTGGGAGCATGGACTAGGGCCCTGGCTCTGACTTGCCCACTCTCAAGCAGAGGCCCTGTGTGACCCAGCCCCTGCCCAACACCTGAATGCTGCCTAGCTGCAAAGGCACTGCTGTCCCTTAGCGCACCCAAGCCCCCAGCTGGGGGCTTTGAAAGCAGCTCTTTTGGAGCAGGAGTAGGGCTTTCTGCCCCTAGCACAGGGGATGCCCAAGGCAGCCCCCCACACCTACTTCTGTGAGGTGGATGGCCCAGAAGTAGGGTGTCTGCGGCAGGCAGTCAGTCACCAGCAGCCCCACATCCCCGTAGGTCTTGGCTATCACAGCCAGCCAGCTCAGGTCCTTGTAGCAATCCCGCAGCATGAGCACCAGGAAGGAGCCTCTGGAAAGGAAAGTCAGGTGCCAGGCGGGTCAGGGAGAAATGGGCTTGGTGCAGCCACGGGCAAGCTGGGCAAGACCTTGTGGGCGCTTCTGCAAGGTCCCACACGCTTGCACCCCAGGCAGTGCCCTGTTAAGCTGGTCCTGCTGCAGCTCCGTCCTTCACCCACTCAGTAGTTTGAGTGCACACAAAGCAAAGAGCAAGAGGACTAGTCTGCGCCTGGCAATGGGCTGGAATTAGAAAGCTGGAGGGCTGAGGGTGGGACAAGTCTGGCAGGGAGCAGCAAGGAGGGTGAGGGGGATGGCGGGGAGCAATTTCCTCTCATGGCAGCTAGTTGGGGTCAGACTGTGGATGCATCCACCAGCCCTTCAGGTGGGAGACCAGCGGGTCAGGGCAGCCACGTGATCCAAGGTCTTGTCAGATGCAGCAGCAGGGCTGTGGCACATGGGCACATCCAGAGCATGAGACGCCATCGTCCCTCCCCATCACAGCAGTGCAGGCCCAGCCCCAAGCGGCTCCTGCTCACCTCATTTCCATAGGAACAGCGTATCGAACCTGCTCATGCTTCACCGCATGGGGAGTAGTCGGTTGCAGGAATCGGGCCTCAGCACCTGCTGCAGCCCCAGCAAGAACAGGACAGTTCAGCATGGACCCCCCCCCAGGCAAGCATGGATCAAGGTTTGGGGGTTCCCACCCCCCACCCCAGGCAGTTGCATGCCAGTCTCGCCCCTGCCCACGCTCACCACTGCTCAGCCCCAGCTCTTCCTCAGGAACTTTCTCCAGAGCCTGCAAGCCAGAAAGAGCAGGTCTCAGAAGAGACGGGGCACGGGAAGCAGCAGCCCGACAGACCCAGCTCCCCCAGGGCACCAGGATCCGGGTTGAAGATGAAGCCCACACCCTCCTACGGGGACCATTGCCCTGAGACCCCGACATGGTTTGCAGAAGCAACACCTGGTTCCTCCCAGGGCCTGCTGGAACACGGACCTGCCCATAGCCAAGCAGCGCAGGGATACCAGGACTTCCGGGCCCTAACCCCACCGTCCATCCCCCTGTACCTCAGCCCTGCAGCCCCCTGGATGGCTGTGCAGTGGTCACCACTGAAGGTGGCAGAGAAAGGAGACAGCAAGTGACCTGCACCCAGCAGCAAGGTGAGCAAACACCCTAGCCAACCCAGGACGCACCCACGACCCTCCCCCTCACCCCCACCTCTCGCAGGGAAAGAACGAGTGCCCAGGCCTCCCTTAGGCCAGCCATGCAAGCAGACGCTGCCTTACCGGCATCTCCAGCTGGCTCCTTGGCCAGGCCGTGCCCCTCATGCCATTCCCCTCGTCGGTGTTGCCCAGGATCCTGGTGCAGTCGCTGCGTGGCTGGACCGTGCACTGTGCCTGCTCGGTGCAGCTGAAGCCAACAGGCACGTTGCTGGGAGTGGAAGCACAAGGTCGTGGGTCCTGCTGCGTCTGAGAGCCAGAGGGCTGCAGCTAGCAGCGAGTGCTGCTCGCCAGAGCAGAGGGGAGAGCGGTGTTTCGGTCCCAAGCAGGGAGGAGAGAGAAGGGAGCCCCCAAAAGCCCCAAAGCTTCTGCTCTGTCCACAGCCAGGAGCCCCCTGTTCAGCCCAGAGCTCTTCCACAGTGAAATGTGCTGCCCACAGGGGCTCAGCTCCCCACGTGTCCAGCCAGCACAGGGGGCAGCTCAGGGTACAGCGACCACGGTCCAGTGCTCCTGGCAAGATCAGGGCGAGATGCTGCCTGCAGCTAGAAAGCCTCCACCTCCCCAGGCTCCCAGCACAGGCACAGGATGGACAATGACACCCACCTTTTGAATGCAGGGTGGCCTCTCTTGAGGTGCTGAGGGTCGAAGTCCTTCAGCCAGAGCAGGACATCCTCCTGGCAGAGACCAGGGCAGGCCTTACCACAGCAGGTCCCGGAGGCGAGTCCACAGGAGCCAGGGCTCGTCCTCCTCTCCCAGCAGAGGGGCACGCGCGGTTCTATGGGGGTCCGCAGAGACCCCTGTGGTGCAGAGAGGAGAACCCGCTGCACGGGTTGTGTTGGGGGGTCCCGGAGTGGGACCCATGCAGGCACAGGGACCCTGCCGCTGGGTTCCCACGACTGGGCACGGCACGGATGTAGCCAGGGCACCCAGACTGTGGGGGCAGGAGCCAGAACAGGTCCCTCCCCACCAGAGCCCCCTCCTTTCTGTGGCAGCCAGTTGCAGGCACTGCCAGCCAGGAGTCTCCCAGGGCAGGGAGGAAGGGCACCGGGCCCGAGCACCACAGCTGTGCTGAGATCCACTGCAGCAAGCTCTGGCCAGGGGCTTGGGCCCGTACCTCCGTGATACCTGGCAAGGGCTTTCCCCCGTGGGCTTCACAGTCCTTCCTGGAGGCACCTGGCAGAGCAAGCAAGGAGGCTTCAAAGAAAACAGGGGCTTCACAGGCCTTGTGCCCCAACAAGCCCAATGCTATTTGGAGCCCCCAGCCTGATCTCACAACTGGGATGCAGAGGTGGCTCTGTAGGGTCCCCCCTTCTAGCACCATGCTTGGGCTGCAGAGGAGCAGGCACTGCCAATGCCATAGCCACTCCTGCTCTCTGCCAGGGTCTCACCATGTGCCAGGCGTGGGAGGCTTCAGGGGCCAGCCTGCCTCCTCACACCTGTGGGGCTCGTGATCCATATCTCCTCTCTCCCAGGCCAGGTTCCCATCCCCCCCCCCGGTTCTCTGGCTACGGAGAGCCCGAGGCACCCGGAGCCCGGCAGGAGGCAGGTGCAGGCCAGGTGGGAGCTGCACTGGGGGCCGGGTCCTGCTGGTCGGGCCCACTTGACCCGCCCAGCCTCGCCTCCCGTCTCCCCGCGCTGGGCCGGGGGCTCACCCCAGGACTTCGGCTGCTCCGGTTTCCCCTTCTTCTTGTGGGGCGGCGCCGGGCCGCGCTTGCCGCAGCCTGACCTGCAACGCGCCGGGGAGGGAGCGGGGGCTG